TATATATATATATATATATATATATATATATATACATATTGATATATGTGTGTGTGTGTGCATTTATATATATGTGTGTGGTGTGTATATACGTGTGTGTGTGTGTGTGTGTGTGTGTGTGTGTGTGTGTGTGTGTGTGTGTGTGTGTGTGTGTGTGTGTGTGTGTGTGTGTGTGTGTGCATATAATAATAATAATCGGTTTATTGATTTTCATGCAGCCAGGGGCTGAAAATATACATAGAAATATAGATAAAGAGACAAACTATATATGCATAGACATAAAAACAACACACAACAAAGTAACTAACAATCTATAACAACAAAATAGACACAGTAATAAAAGCTAAGTACAAAATCAGGTGAGCTAGGAGCTGGACCAGTAAATGTAGACTAGTGTTCGTTGATGAGTCGGACTAGAGTGGGTACTGTGCTCCGGTGGTAGCGGTCAGTGCGGGCCCTGATGTGCACCAATTTGTTGGCGGCGCGTAGGGCCCGGTGAGGCGGCGGTGCGCCGGGGGGCAGCAGGTCACGGTGGCGTGGATGGCACAGCAATTTAAGGCCAAACTGCTGCAGTGAGGTTGTGTAGTGAGTGGCGAGGGAGGCGAGGCCTAGGGCGGTCAGGGCGCTGTCATAGCTGGTATAGACAGGGCCGAGAATGATCTTGGCTGCCCTTTTCTGCACCCTCTCGAGTTGTAGCAGCTGGGTGGCTGTGAAGGAGGGGGACCAGGCGGGGGAGGCGTAGGTCAATTTAGGGAGGATGAATAGCCTGTAGGTATTCTGAAGCTCCGGGAGTGGAACGCCAAGGGACTTGAGACGGCGCAGCATGTGAAGCCTGTACGAGGCAGACCTCACGATGTCTCTGACGTGCTGCGTCCAGGAGAGCTTATCGTCGATGGTGACGCCGAGCAGCTTGGTGGAACGGACTACATCGAGCGGGTGGTCGTCCAGTGTGAGGAAGGGCAAGGGGGTGGGGTTGGTGGAGAAGTCGAACTGCATCACGACCGACTTCTGGCGATTGATGGTGACGTGATTTGCGGAGGTCCAGGAGAGTAGGTTGTCGAGGGTGCGCTGGATGGCGGAGTGGTCAGGGCAGGATCCGTCAATGGCGGCGGCGATGGTCGAGTCGTCCACATATTTCCAACGATGCTCGGTATCAAGGAGAGCGTCGTTAATCAAGACTAGGAAGCACAGGGGGCCCATTCTAGTCCCCTGGGGGACTCCGCGCGTGAGTGGCAGAAGGCTGGAAACTTGAAACTTGATGTGTGTGTGTGTGTGTGTGTGTGTGTGTGTGTGTGTGTGTGTGTGTGTGTGTGTGTGTTGTGTGTGTGTGTACACACACGCATATATAATAGTGTATGTATATATATATATATATATATATATATATATATATATATATATATGTATATAATGTATGTATATGCATATATATATATATATATATATATATATATATATATATATATATATATGTATATATATATATATATGTATATATATATGTATGTATATAATGTATATATATGCATATATATATATATATATATATATATATATATATATATATATATATATGTATATAATGTATATATATATGCATATATATATATATATATATATATATATATATATATATATATATATATATATATGTATATAATGTATATATATATATATGCATATATATATATATATATATATATATATATATATATATATATATATATATATATATATATATATGTATATAATGTATATATATGCACATATATATATATATATATATATATATATATATATATATATATATATATATATATATATGTATATATATGTATATATATGTATATATATGTATATATATATATATATGTATATATATATATATATATATATATATATATATATATATATAGTTGCGCACACGCACACACGTGTGTGTGTGTGTGTGCTTTTAAATATGCACACACACACACACACACACACACACACACACACACACACACACACACACATATATATATATATATATATATATATATATATATATATATATATATATATATAGTTGCGCATACGCGTATGTATGTGTTCTCAAAATTACAGTTTCTTTTTACATAGGGTTTTAGTGATTTTGTAGAGAATGCTATAGTTAGAAGACTTACGTTGCCTGATTTCGTTCAGCCGTACCAAATAAGTTTTCCCAACAGGAAAGGAACAGCAAGACCCTCCTGCATTGAAATGTCCCTGGCCTGGCGAAAACTTTTCATACACACCGGGTATTCTGGGTCTTTTAAACTGTCCAGGTTGTATTTAGTCATGCGATATCCTGTATTTCTGAGGATGCATATTATAACAAGTTTCAATTTCCACATAGCAAGGTTCTACTATTATTTGTCGTCTGCTATCATCTGTATAACATTTTATGTTATGTGATATTCTGTGACATTAATGGCCTTTATATCATGTATAACGTATTATGTATATGCAATATTTGCCGTTATCAGATAATTACATACAGAAAAGCACTGTGGTTGTTGAGATGCGTAAAGTAGCCATGGACACTGTCCTCCAAAACGAGTCCTTGTATTGTAGGTAAGTCTTCTTAAGATATGTTTAACAGGAAAATGAATTGGCAGACACCTTTTGAATGCAGTATGTCGGATCGAAAGGATACCTTGTGACATACTCTGTAAAGGTAAAGTAAAGGGAAACAAATACATTTTACGCATCACAAATTGTCATTCTTTATGTCAGTTTTAAAGGAATCAGTGTCATCATACAAGTTTTATGGAAGCGCGATTCGGTTTGGAATTATGATGAACCTGTAGTAAGAAACTTTCTTCATATATTTCTGGAATTCTCTGAGCTCTTTATTTGGCACTAAACATTGTAAGAGTATATCGTTCTTTTCTGTCCATAAAGAACTGCGAACTTCTGAACTCTTCTCGGTTCGTGTCCAAAAAAGAAATAATCGGTAATTTTATAGGAGAGCAATTTCGTCTCAAGTTCTACCTTGAAATATCCCAAATACAATAACTGTTATAGCTCTGGTCAAGCCATGGGAGAATTGATCAGCATAATTCATGTAGTAAAGATCGATCACCTAGATTTCCCTATCAATTTTTTCCCCTTTTTCCCTATCAATTTTTTTAGCTGTTTATTTAGTACCCTTGTCTACACACACATAAGCAAGATTTGGTACATATGCAATATTATATGATAATATTGCATAGTAAATTAAGGATATAATGAAGATAAGCTTTATAGCTTCTTTTTTTTCGTTTTTGACTTGTAGAGATCATCTTTTATCCCTTGTGAAAGCACCTTCAACTGAGAATTCCTGGACCACTACATATTAGCTTGTTCTTGTGAACTGAAACTGCAGTTTGTGAGAGCTTTATCTGTCAACTTATTAATTTGTCTCCATACGCCAACTACAGAGGTTTGACTATTGATACTTTGCAAGAATTTCCCCAGTGTTTACTACGAATTAGAGTTCTTTGTTGGCTTTAAGAAACCGCATAAGATTACCTGACGTCAAATTATCTTAATAACAATTAGCAAGCTTCTGAACTCGTTTGTTTCTTCGTTAGAATCGGGTTTTTGATCCACCTCGGTGCATAGGAGGCCTGGGGGCTCCTTTATCGAGTTTTCGTGAACAGGTCTAGTAGTAGTCAGTGATGACTTTGATTAGACGCCGAGAGGAATTTTCAATAGTTATTTCATAGGCGTTATACCAGTCATAGACCGTGCCTTGAAGTGATGCACCAGGCCCGGTGGGACAATTATTATAAGCTTAATTGATTTTGTGGTTGAGTTGGTGTCTACAATATAGTCTATTCGGATAGCAAACTCTTGTACCAATGAAATGTAGACATTGCTATGAACTAGATTTTTGCCAAATACGTAATCTAACCTACCACCTCCTAAATTTTTTTTTAATTTATTTAAGTGACAGTGTTACCTCCATATATGTCAACAATCCAGTCATGGCTGTATTCACATATATATAATATCCCTTAATTCATCTTAACAGCAGCAGCAAAAGGCTCTTGCACTCAAATCACATCACTATCATATTTACTGATATAAAACTCTAGGTCATTCAGGCCAGGGTTTATAGAACGCATATTTCATTATATGAATTTGATTGTGCGTATGTGTATACGGATCTGTACTTCATGTTGATATATCCTCAGATATTATGAATTTTAGATTCACATAAGAAACATATAACTTCATGATTATAGATTTCGTTACAGATGGTAGTTCTAAACTGAAAGTTGTTTTTAACAATTTCAAAGATTTGGTCTTAGCTCTCCACTTCATAACACAGTCCCTTCAGTTGTCGTGGCACCTGGGGGGATGATTGCGTCACTGGACTGCTCGTCTGACTCGATGTAAGCGGGATCCTGATGTTCGTCGCTGCTGTCACCGCTGACATACCAACTCTGGTTATCAGCACCGGTGTCTTGACATCGATTCTCCTCGTTCATTTTGTTAACACTAATGAATAATGGGTCGTATACCCCGAAGATTTCACGTGTTTAGAAATCGTCGTACAAATACCGTAGATTTTCCTATCTTGTGGACTAAACCTTAGGTTGAAAATGAACACAGATTAGCATTTTTCACAAATTTACTTGAAGAATCAAGCATGTCATGCATTGTTATCCCATAATTACACAAAATATATAATACATATGACAAAGGAAGAGTACATAAATTGCAAGAATGGGTGCATCCTTAGGCACGGTGTGGATTTTTAAAAATTATGCAAGTGAGATGCAAACTTGTTCGATTATCAAACTGTATTATGGATTGTAACACAGTTCAAAACTATAATAGCTACAAAATGCTGAGACTGTACCAGGGCATGCTTTTTTTTACTGTAAATCAATTAACTATACATCTGTATTCAAGGTTGTTCATACTAAAGGGTACCTGTACACACGCATACAGACAATTTCTCATTTATCGACTTTGTTTCTCCCCAGGCTTGATATGTGCCGAAGGTGATATGTGGCGTGATCATCGAAAGTTCGTGTTGGGTTTTATGCGGCACCATGGGATGAAGAACACGGGGTCGAGAGGCGCCATGGAGCCCAGAATTCATGAAGTGGGAGTTCAGCTCACTAAGGTGAGGTCTCTTAGCCCTTTTCAACACCTGCCTCTTTCCTCTCCGCCACACGAACATTCTCGCACATTTTCGAATAAGGGAGCTTTTGATAATGACTAAATTCCTTACGAATCAAAGACGGTTTCTTTCAACACTTGACAGGAGTTAGCCGAGGAAAGCGAGGGGGTCGACATCACGGAGAAGCTGATGCACCACGTCGGGAACATCATGAACCAGCTGATCTTTGGCCTCACCTACCAGGAGGACGACGGCACTTGGCGCTGGCTGAGGCACCTGCTGGAGGAGGGCACGAAGCTGGTGGGCGTCGCGGGGCCACTCAACTTCCTGCCTTGTCTGAGGTATACACTGGAGCTCATAGTTTACAGGCCTTGATTATAATTGTTGGTGTTGGATAGCTAGTTGATATTCTTAATGTTATTGCTGATGCTATTTTATACACATGATAATGATGGTAGTAACAGTATAACTAACTATTATCATCGTTATCGTTATTTCCACATAATGGCATATACTTATAAACAATCCGGGTTCACCGGTGCATTCTATGCCACGCGGTGCTGCTCGCGTGGCTGAACAAGATTCATTTACGGTAGAGCGGGACTTCAATTAGATAATGCGAGCTACCAGAGATTGTGTGTTTGTATTTGCTCGTTTCAGAGTGTCTGTGTTTAGTTATTCAATTGTTTACTTCCTTGTGTGTCTAGGTGCGAATGTTTGCTCGTTTCCGTGTATGTTTAATTATCTATTTGTTTACTTCTTTGTGTGTGTGTGTGTGTGTGTGTGTGTGTGTGTGTGTGTGTGTGTGTGTGTGCGTGTGTGTGTGTGTGTGTGTGTGCGCGCGCATGCGTATGTTTTGCTCGTTTCTGTGTGTATGTATTTGTTCGTTAACTTTGTGTGTATGCGTGCGTATGTTTGAACATAAGTAACAATATCATAAATATCATACTAATGATGAAAATGATCAGAGTAGCAAGATAGATAACATTAATATATAATATCGTGTTACCATGAATATGTTTCCTTATACTTCATAATGAATGTAATATCACAAGCATTAGCAATAATACTCGAATGTTTCAGTGTTGCTAGCATCTGTTCTATTTGTTCTCCCTTCTACCATTTGCCAGACACCTCCCGCAATACAATCGCATCTTCAGCTTCATCACGTACAACCAGCGGAAGACCCACGCCGAGTACCAGAAGATCATCTCGGCGCACGAGGAGGAGCTCCAGCAGGAGTCCTCTTCAAGCGGCCACGGCGGTCAGGCTGCGGTCGACGAGACCCCCAGCGACGATGAGGCCAAGGACACACCCAGGCACATTGTGGATGCCTACGTGAAGGTAAAATGAGCCACTTTCCTTCTCGTCTTGCTCGCTTATCGAGGTATGTTTAGTTAAATATTTAGATTAGATAAGACGAAAGGAAAGTCAGGCACATGATCTCGGTTATATTGGTTGTAACTCCAAAGGAGAGAACTGTGTCGGTCACACACCCTTTGCTGGGCTTCCTAAAATGACCTGTTAGGCGCCCAGCATAAGCAACGTGCCCCAGTGACCAACCAAACCACGTACCCTGAAATCTTGGCAACACACTAAAGAGAGCCTGCCAACATGCCCTTGAGGTTGCCTATTAATTAGTCTGACGGGGAGACATCAGAAGTTGTTTTACCTTGCGTATATGTAATTTAAAAGACCCTTCTTTTTTACGATTTATCCTTCCAACGAAAGTATTTTCTGCATATATTTGCGAAAATAATAATACTCTCAGCTTCACCGAGATCTGAAACAGTACATTTTATGCAATAGCATAAAGGCAACAATGCGCGCGCGCGCATTCTTTTTATCCAGACAACCCTATATCATCCCATATATGGTAATGTATTACTTAAAATGAAGCTACTGAGACTTTCTAGAAGACTTTACCAAGGATATTGATTGGCTGATGGTCCGCTTGAGGTTATTATTATATTTGTACAGGTTATTATTATATTTGACAAAAGCCACAAGGTAGTGTAAGTGTGAAGTGTACAGAGAGCAGCCACTTTCTAGTATTACAGCAGTTGCGAGGCTGCGATACCGACGACCAAGTGAACCATTTGACATTAAATGGTAAGGCTTCCATAAGGCGAGTATAAAAGAGGAGTTGCAGGCTGCAAGGCACTGCAAGCAGTATCCGCCCCCAGGACTACTGTCGCCTAGTAGCAGGAGTTGCTACGCCAGGCAGTTGTATGGAAGAGTATTACTTTGTAGCTCAAGGTGGACTGGGCCAGCAGACAGGGCACCGTCTCCTACCACAGCCTTGAAGCTCCTGATGATGTGAAGTGTGACTCGCAACAAAGTGCCCTGCGCACAAGGAGCTAGAATATTTATCATCAGTGAACCAGATAATCAAAAGCAAATGAGAAACAAGAAAGTCCGCCACATTTCTCCTTGGTTATCAGTGAACCAGCCCTACGAATGAAAAACGCTAGCTGTAAGATATTGTTGCAAAGCTTTAACTACAACTTGGCAACATATCTGAAATTAGATTTTCTCCATCTGCAACTATTTTCATAAACATTTTACTGTAACATTTATGTTAAGGTAACAGTATCTGCACTGCATGAACTATGACAGAAATAAAGAACAAATGATTATAATATACAACAATAATATAAATATCTGTGCACAGAAATTGAATTCAGGATTCTTACCGTAAAATTCTTTACCTATTTACTTACAGAACCGTAACATCCTGGATAGAAATTACACGAGTTTCGTTCTTTGATAACTACACATGATTGGAATTTTTTCCATCTAACGAGGTTGAAACAAAGTTGAATGACTTTCAAAAAGTTAAATAGAAGAAACAGAATTACCCCACGCACTACTCGCCTTGAAGACATGCCCAACCTCCATATATGAGAAGAAGTATTAAAACACTTTATGTCTAAACTACCCTTTTTATTGCTGTCTGGCAATTAACAAAAGGTTTATTATCATGACTATTAAGCTAATACAAATGCACTGATTTTGAGCCACATCGTTTAATAATATATGTACATATCATTGAACCCGAGATAAATCGTCATTTACGATCAACGTATAAGGAATCACAACACTTGCCATAACAAAGTTTGAAAAAATTGTTGCTATTAGTTCTCAAGGTCGTGTGAGGTCTCATATAATATAATTTGCGATGTTAACAGCCAGAGATATTTAAAAAATTAATCGACCTTCATGGTAAATTTTGGGCAGTCATACTTTGTAAGAAAAGTCCCCTGATACCCATACTTTACTAGTGAGGCCTTAATGGGAGATCTGCTAGTAGTAGCGGCTATTAGTCATTAGGTATTCTATCAGGTAAATAACATGCAAGGGGAAAGGGTATGTTTGTTCTTTGAAAATACTGGCATCGTTTTGTGAACGTACTCGTTTGAAAGTTGTACTTCTCTCTAGATCACCGTACAGGCAAAGTAGAGATGGGTAACTACGTCTTATTATCAGTTTCACTTTTACACCAAATTTAAATAATGCCAATAATACGGATGATGCGATACGTCTCTGGGGGAAGTGAATCGGATACCAGATATACACTGCTTTCAGAATCTCTCGTTCTAAGAATATATCTATTTAACACTATATGTGTGTATACATATTTATCACACACACAGACATATGTGTGTGCGTATGTGTACATGTATATCTACATATGTATATGAGTGTTTATATATGTATATGCATATGTATACATGTATATATGTATGTATGTGTGTGTGTGAGTGTGTGTGTGTGTGTGTGTGTGTGTGTGTGTGTGTGTGTGTGTGTGTGTGTGTGTGTGTGTGTGTGTGTGTAGGTGTGTAGGTGTGTGTGTGTGCGTATGTATATACATGTATGTGTATGTATAAGTACATTTGTGGTATGTGTATGTATGTATAGCATTTTGGAGTAGAATGCCTGTGCAGTGTAATTCTGCATGTTTCTCCTGATAATCATGTTCAAAGTGGGAATCTGATTTCGGATTTCTTTTACAAGTCGAACCCTCATCTCTTCTCTGATTAATTTTGTTTTCAGGCCAAATTAGATTGTCGTTCCATCGTTCGCCTTTCTGTGTCGCACCTCTTAGGTCCTTTCACAAAAACAGATTGGGAAACATCGCTGGGTGGGTCTGTGCATTCCTTTGTACTTTTACACACTCCCTGATCATAAGAAATATTTTTTTATGCAAATAGATGGTCAGTTTCAACATGAGCTCCTAATTGGTTTCTGGTCTAGTCAGAGGCTTCAGTGTGACGGTATATACGTACACACACACGGGTGTATGTTTCTTATTGGGATGCTTACAACTGGTTCGGCTCACGCACGAAGAGATAGGTACCTTTCCCTTGTCTCTTCCTCTGGCCTCACAACAAAAGAGCACTGAAGGTGCTGGTCAACGGCGGGCCGTTCGGGACGAGCGGATTGATCGGCAGCTCTGGACACCCTTGGCTCAGCCGCGGCGTCGACAAGCACAAAACGCGGCGTTCAACAACACACACACACACACACACACACACACACACACACACACACACACACACACACACACACACACACACACACACACACATATATATATATGTATATATACATATAAATAAATGTATATATATATATATATATATATATATATATATATATATATATATATACATATAAATAAATGTATATATATATATATATATATATATATATATATATATATATATATATATACATATAAATAAATGTATATATATATATATATATATATATATATATATATATATATATATATATATATATATATATATAATATATATATGTACACACACACACACATATACATTATATATACACTTATTATCATATCACATGTATGATGATATGCATGTCCATGAGAGAGAGAGAGAGAGAGAGAGAGAGAGAGAGAGAGAGAGAGAGAGAGAGAGAGAGAGAGAGAAAGCGGAGCCCTGGCCGGGTAGAGCAACAAGCTGCGTTCATCCTCACAAATCCTCGGTATCCACTCACGTCAGTTTTCCGTCGCTTGCCAGTCACTCGGCCGCTGATTCCCTTGAGACTTCCTCCTCGACCGAGCAAACCAGAAAACTCTGACGAGGGCCGCATGCGTATTTTCGCGTCAAATCCAAGCCAGAGATCATCATTCTCAGTGGAGAGATAACAGGGTCAGAGGTTGTTAACGCCTGATCACATGCGTGATATGCGTATGTATGCGTGACATGCATACGTATGCGTATGTATGTGGGAGAGGGGGAGGGGGGTTGTGTGTGTGTGTGTGTGTGTGTGTGTGTGTGTGTGTGTGTGTGTGTGTGTGTGTGTGTGTGTGTGTGTGTGTGTGTGTACATGTTTATATGTCACTACTTATCCTTTGCACGTATTTCCCGCAGAAACGGAGACAACTTGGGGAGAACATCGGCACCTTCACGTACAAGCAGCTGAAGCATGTGGCCGCCGACCTGTTCGGGGCGGGCTCGGAAACGACCATCACGACCCTCAAGTGGCACTTCCTCAACATGGCGCTTTTCCCTGACATACAAGTAAGGCTTCGCTTCTTCCTCGTCACAAAATAATAATATATTACACACATATACTCTAAACGTACAAACACACACACACACCTTGTATTGTGTGAGACTAAAAAAATATAAACATACTCATAATCACACGTAAGCTATTAATTTTTAAACGAATTTTGTCAAACTGGTTTCACATAAATAGTCTACAGAAAATCCTCCGGTTTTCTGTCACCCATGGTTCATGGTCATTTCGTTTCGCCGAAGAAACACAGGTCACAGAATAATCACTCAGTAAGACCCCTGACCCTAAAGTATGCACCTCCAACGTTTATTTGATGGGCAAGCGACAGCTGGAAACTTTAACAAGCCTTTTGGCAAACTAATCCGGTAATGGTGGGAAATTCAAGTGACTGCGCTATTTTCTGTTGGGATTAAAGGACACATTTACAGTATGTATAAATATATCCATCTATCTATCTATCTATCTATATACACAAATATAAACATTATATCTATCCATTTAAATATGTATGTATGTATGTGTGTAAAATATAACGGCTATTTGCTGGACTATCTCACAAAAATAAAAATGGAAAGATAATATCATCCAAATACCTGACCGTCTGCTTCAGATAAAGTACATTATGATTCATAATAAAGAGTGCGTAGGTGCTCGGCTCGGTTTAAAGAGAAAAATCACGGGTCCCTCAACGCAGTTTATTAAACAAGTGCATGATACAAAATGGCATGCGACGAAGAGAGCGGCCTGAATAAACATTACCGTAATGTAAATGCACCGATATTCACACAGCCCGGGAGGCTCTTGTGGGGCCTCCCGGGAGTGCCTGTGTGAATATCGGCAGCTTTTTGTGCCGTAGTATGTTGCTGGCCTTCGTTCGCATTTAGCTGCACTGAAAATAGTTATGAGCTTTAATGGATGTGACTTAGCTTCCCTGCATCCGTAGTCTGTGTGTAAAATGTCTTGCGCGAATGTCTCGGACAGCACTCTGCACAGGCTACTTTTCTGTAACTATCATCATTTACTTTGATTATCATTAATTTTGTTACCATCACTCTTTTTGGCTATTAAAACGGTTAGTATACCTCTTCTTAGTTTTCACCATTATCACTATAATTTTTATTATTTTACAAAAATCACCTTCCAGATAACGCATGTTTATATCATTACCATCAGTATCATAAAAACATTGTTTCGGTTTTCATGTAATCATCCATATCACTCTTAGATGATTATTAGCCAAAATCAGGTTAGTGGCATTATTGTTCACTACTACATATCAATTCTCTCATTACTGTCTTCACCAAAATGAGAGGTGGACAGAGGTGAATTCACAGGGGAGACTTACAGCAAGAGATCACGACCTCCGAGGCCTTGGGAATCCGCCTTTGGATGACTGTGCTGGAACCGTTTTCGTGTTAAGAGAGATTCCGTGTATATTTGCTGTGAAATTCAGCAGTCACGGCCTGGCGCGATAACAGTTATTTCATAACGTGTGACGCCCCTCACTGAGTCCTTATTCCTGTGAATGAACTTCAACTTTAATCATGCCTGGCCCAGTCTACTGAAACTGTAATGATGTGTGGGCGTTATCACACTGCGCTGATGACAATGTGATGTTGTGAATTCATGTTCCCCTGTGATGGTACTAGTTTAGTTCTTGTGTGTAGAGTTAAAGTTGTCGCAGTTTCTAAACTTTATTGGCAAGGGAGGTGCCCAGGGAGGAGAGGGCCGTCCTGCCATGCCCGCGAGGGTGAGCGGTCTGTATTGACTTGCACAGAAATTGTTATGAACATACTTCGTTTTGAAACATTTCAAAATGGAAAACATGAAATAATTCGAATGAACACAAATTCAGATACACGTGGTTACATGACGGTTTCGTGGTGAAGGAACAAGGGTATCATATATATTGTATGTGAGAAGGGAGTTATGTCGTTTACAAGACTAAAAAGCTGTGTGATAAGGAGTATTCATGAAATATGAAGACGCTTGAATAGCGATTATATAGTGATTCAAAATAAGCATTTTCTAACAAACATTTTGAGTATAAACAAGACATAACAGCGTGAGAATTACTTGCGAGCAATAAGGGTTGAATTAGCGTGTTCTAAGGTCACTTCGTCATTGTCACAGATGTAGATCTGTTGGAGTCAGCTGAGGATTGTGAAATTATTGTAAGATAAGAAACATATGACTTTTCTGGTATGCGAAGCGAGAGAGAACAGGTCACTATAGCAACCATCATTCATTCTCAGTATGTCTGCCCCTTCCTCTTCACCCTCCACGCCTTGTGGCTTGCCCTTCAGAGATGTGTGTCAAGTATAACGCCTTGTGATGCTACAGGTTCTCACAGTGCAATGCAGAGCGACCTCAACCTTGACCTACTGTTCTTCTTTCAAGATAACTAGAACCCGACGAGAGTCACGTGTGGGCCATCTCGCTCACAGCAGAGGAGTTGCATCGAAACGGGAAATCTGAGCCTCGTGTTTTTGAGCGACATCGATGCGATCCCTGACGACGTAAATGTTTCACGTCTTTTTCTGCCTGTCTGCAGTCTCTCTCTCTCTCTTACTCTATTCTCCCTTTTCTCTCCTCTCTCTCCTTTCTTCTTTCTATATATATATATATATATATATATATATATATATATATATATATATATATATATGTATGTATATATATATACACATAAATCTTCTTTCTCTTTTCTTTCTTTCCTTCTCTCTCTCTCTCTCTCTCTCTCTCTCTCTCTCTCTCTCTCTCTCTCTCTCTCTCTCTCTCTCTCTCTCTTTCTTTCTTTCGTCTCTGCCCCTCTCTCTCTCTATATATATTTTTTTTCTCTCTCTATTCTTTCTTTTTTTCTTTCAGTGTGTGTATGTGTTATCTATCTAGCTGTCAAGACGGTCACACATGACAGCAGTGAATCTGTTAAAAATATACAGAGGGACAAGTGTTATCATGGACATGTTTTCATGTTATTTTAGAATTAAAAATCTTAATTTGGTCTTTCTTCATTTAATAGGAGCTGGAAGTTATGCAATATTTATTCATGGTTAGAAGTTTCTCAACTAATAACAAAAACAAGCATTAATCTTCTGCTACATATGAAACGTAGAAGAATGCAAGTAGTGTTACAAAACTCAAGTAAAATTCAATTGGAACTCGATCGTTTATTTACATAGAAAATGCATAAAACTTGGAAGGAAAGAGAAGTAAAGAGATAAGAATAACACTTGACATCGGCAAATCTGGGTCGGGCATGATTTAAGAAGGTTAATATAGATCAGTGTGTGAGGGTCCCGGAGTTTCTTGTTGTACCAAGCAACGGGTGTAGATACATATAAGAATACTTAGACACATGCACAGATCCCCTCCACACGCACGGATGTGCGTATATATGTATATATATATATATATATATATATATATATATATATATATATATATATATATATATATATATATATATATATATATATATATATATATATATATATATATATATATATATATATATATATATATATTTATATATATATAACACATATGTATATATATCATAGATACATACAAATATATGCATATATACATACATATATATGTTTGTATGTATATTCCTAACACACGCACACACACCCATTTATATATATATATATATATATATACATATATATATATATATATATATATATATATATATATATATGTATACATACGTATGTATCACACACACACACACACACACACACACACACACACACACACATACACACATCATTATGTTCCTAGAACTTGCAAATTGCAAATCCAGACCAAACAACGTCTAGTTTTACGAGTGGAGTAGCAAGTGCAGATTTTTTTGCGAGACAATCTCTGTAGAACAGACTTGTTTTTATTCGGTGCATTTGGGAGCTGATGACATACCTTGAACTTGAGCCCTATTTACAAGTATTAAAGTTAGATCGGCAACAATAGTGTAATAATGCATTATAGTTTTCAGAACATAGGCTATTGTTTGAAGTGAGAGAGGTTCTGTGGAATTGTTTGAGCACGAAGTTATTGAAAGTGAACACTCAACAGTGACTACTTGATGAGTCATTAAGAGGGCAAAAGTTGCCGAATATTTCCTTGAACGCAGCTGGAGACTTTTTTCAAAAGGAAGTTTGGTACGGAATATTCTTCCGGTGAATAGATGTTATCTCAAATAAGTATATATGTTCATTAGATGCTATATTCTCATGCTACTGTTAATCTGAAACATTTAATGACATGGATTTAGGAAAGAACAGTGCTAAGAAAGCAAATATAATTCTTTAAGAGGTACATGTGTGGCTCCAATTGTTTTTAGAACGACGGATAAGTGTTAAGATTTCAAATAATTTGAAGTTCAATTGGCGATAAAAATTAGGACATAAGGACATTGGCAAACAGAACTCTGTATTAAAGTAAAGGTTTCAATAGTACAGGTATATATGATGTAAATCTAGTTTGAATTATATCTCTCCGTAAGACTGTTTAACCTGTCGTTGTTTGCTTTACTACTACGAAACGAAAGCACATCTCCGTTAAGCCAAGAGGTGATTGTTCCTCCGTCTTCTGCAAAAGGAAAGGAACTTGCACCACTGAGTATTATGTTTGAATATACTTCAAATGTATAGCGCCATAGCAATGAAAGTTATACAGGTTTTTGGGATTTAAAACAAACTGTATACGTGTTTGTTTGTGACTGAGTGATTGCACAGATTGACGGCGAGAATGTTTCTAATTGCCTTTGAAGATATTATAATGCTGGCGTAAAACCAATTTGAATACACAATTCGAATATCAGATACAAATATATGCAGTCTCGTTGTGCAACACGTGAATTTCCAGTTGTCAATTATCGTTTAAAACTGCCGGTCGGGATGTGGGACTGAATTGATGTCATGAATATGTGTTCAATTTTCTTTCACAAAGATTCGTTACATTTCTGTCAAAAATTAAAGCTTTCAGATCTGCA